ATGTGTGTAATGATTGGAGTAAGTTTCTCCAACATAAAGATGTGTAATGATTGGAGTAAGTTTCTCCAACATAAATGTGTGTAATGATTGGAGTAAGTTTCTCCAACATAAAGATGTGTAATGATTGGAGTAAGTTTGTCCAATATAAAGATGTGTAATAATTGGAGTAAGTTTCTCCAACATAAATGTGTAATAATTGGAGTAAGTTTCTCCAACATAAATGTGTAATGATTGGAGTAAGTTTCTCCAACATAAAGATTTGTAATGATTGGAGTAAGTTTCTCCAACATAAAGATGTGTAATGATCAGAGTAAGTTTGTCCAACATAAAGATGTGTAATGATCGGAGTAAGTTGCTCCAACATAAAGATGTGTAATGATCGGAGTAAGTTGCTCCAACATAAAGATGTGTAATGATCGGAGTAAGTTGCTCCAACATAAAGATGTGTAATGATCAGAGTAAGTTTCTCCAACATAAAGATGTGTAATGATTGGAGTAAGTTTCTCCAACATAAAGATGTGTAATGATTGGAGTAAGTTTCTCCAACATAAAGATACACAGTGGTTGGAGTAAGTTTCCATGAACATGTAGTAAGCAGGGGAGTTTCACTGTCATAAATATTTATAAAAGGAGATGAAGCATCAGTAATAGTAGCAATAGCTTTTATTTCTGACATAAGAGTAACTAACGTTTTATTAATAATATGAGATAAGGTTTTAAGAATGGTTTTGTAAAATAATAACTCATAATACTTCTGTACCTTCAGAACTGTGTACTACCATACTTTGGGTAATATTATTTGTATCCTGCCTAACAAATTTTATGTTATGTAATAAACAAATGATAGTTTTTCCTCGCAAAGGCCTGAAAAGTTATTAGCTGAATTTGCCAGTGAACAAGTATTCTCTTAAGCAAAAGTAAATGTTATCAAATTGTCGGAATGTAAGCGGATTGTTGGACCACTGCATTGGTTTATTTGTTTATTACACAACATAAAATTTGTTAGGGAGGATACAAATAATATTACCCAAAGTGTGCTAGTACACAGTTCTGAAAGTACAGAAGTATTACGAGTTATTATCATATGATAATAGTTTTAAAATATTTCATATTTAAACAATTACATTCTCACTGTAGTCATCACAACAAAGTATCACTACTTTGATTGTTGCCATAGTAATATTCATTTCTATATACCTGATGGTTTATAATTTACACAATGTTGTATGTAGAATTATACACAAAAGAAAAGGTTTCTTGTGACAGAAATGCTCTGTGATGTACCATTTTTCTGCCAGATGGTTGTTTGATAATGTCAACTTTTACGTTCTTAACCTGAAGGGGTCTCCTGCTAGATGAGTTATTGTTGATATTGGATCTATATCACAGTGCTCGCTAGTGAAAACAGTAGCTGTTGTAGCACTGTCACATCCATTTTTACTGTACAACAGTATTAGCTCTGCAAGTATAAGGTGTATGGTGCATCATAGAATTTCACTGTCATAGACATTATTCTTTCAATATCCAGGTACCCTCCTGTTTTCGAGATGCTCAGACAATGTTTCGCAAGTTATGAATCAGTCTCTAGTTCTGTATGGAAAAAATAAGTTGTATGCATTTATCATTTTGAGTTTTGCAAAGAGTCGTTTTATAAAAAAACAGATTCTGTAAAATTCCTAGATTAAAAAACAAATGTAGATTATCTTGATGTTTTAGGAACTCGGAATGCACATTTTTGAAATATTCTTGATAATTCATAAAATAATTTAAAAATTTCTGATAAAAAGATAATTTTTCAAATGTTTCTAATTTTGAAGTGTGAAATAACGTGTATCTCAATTTTTCTATTTTTTTTCTCTCTCCTTTCGCTTGTTAACAGAAATTCCCATATTCCATGTTTTGAATGCCCGGATCACCTTTGAGAACATTTATTCACTGGATGAGCCAGTATCTGGTGTTACACCGATCAGAGATGATAATACCTGTGCCTGTGTTGTCGATAAAAATTGTTTTGAGCCTCCCACTGGTTATGTCAGACTAGGTACGTACGTACAGTGTAAGGTGGAAGAAACTGAATTAAGGTTTGTAGAATATAACACATACACTTTTCTGCTACCTTGATAAAGTATGTTGACTTTATTCATATTGTTCTACGAAATCCTTATTAGATGGAATTTAGTGCAAGAAAAAAAAAAGCCAAGTCGTGGAGGTGCAACTTTACGTTGAAATCTAGGACCTAATAAAATCTTAATATCACTTAAGGACAACAGAAGTCTGTTGGTTCATCTAGGCTGACCCACCCACAAAACTAAAACTATTTAAAAGAACAACAAAAAAACTTGAAGCTCTTATCATTCAAAAATTTATCAAGCCTTCCCTCGAACTCCTTTATAAACTTACTGCTTCCACCACATCTGAAAGCAACCCATTGCAAAGACCAACCACCCTGTTAGAAAGATAAAGCTGTTTTAGCTGAAGATGACCCCTATCTAGAGTTGTAGTGAGGGTGGGAATGCATGGACACTCTACTTTTATTTAGATGAAATGCTGTAATTCCAATATTGTAAACGAATCCCAGCTTATAAGGTTATGCATCAGATTTCACTTTCTTTATTTAGCACTACACCAATGTTCCTACCCTTCCAAAAATTAATGTTGTCATGATGTGTGTGTATTTGTTATGTGTTATCTGATCAGACTTACTAGAGCTTATCAAACTACAGAAAAAAAAAGTAATGTCTTCATAAAATCCGTTAGGTGTTTTTAACGTGTTATATTAATTAGTATTCACTCCAGGAATAGCAGCTGATTGAAGTGGAAATTGTATTATAAAGATTTTTTTTTTTGCACTTAGAAAGATGCTATCGTATGCATTTTATGGAAATTTGTGTTGAATGGTTAAAAACAAGTAATATAATAAAGATTGCTATGTTGAGAGGAAACATTTTAAAACAGATTTTTCATATAGACAAGGCTGCCCAGCTTTGCTTTTAACAGTTTATCAGTTGTCACTGCAGTATATAAAATATGCATTCATTGCAGTTAAAAAGTGTTGCTTATTTATGGCTAATGCCATTAATTAATAATTAATTCCAATATTAAGTATTTACTAAATACGTGCATACATTAGGTTTCATTCACTAAAGCTTTTGTTGACTTGTGTATTTCCATAGTTAGTGGTTCATTCGATCATTTAGGAAGAAATAAAGAAAAACACTTTGTATCATGTACTGTAGGTTTATTTGGTATTAAATGAACACGTAAGGATAGAACATTGGAAAGTAGTAAATTTCCTTAAAACACGGCTGTTTCTGCAGTTTTACACGAGGAAATTAAACTCGACTTAATGCTTCAAATGTATGATTATATGTTTAGGATGCTAGTAATTTGGCTTCCAAAGAGTCGAGTTAAACGTGAAAGAAAGAATGTAGATCAGGCAGAATATTGCAAATGAAACTTGTGCAAATGACTGTCCTGAAATGAATAATTTTTTGAGTATTGCATCCTAGAGTCTCCTAGATATCTTTTAGTTTCAAGATATCAAGGTGTGGATTGATGTAAAACAAAACCGTTATTGTGTTTAATTAAAACTCTTTTATATTTAACAAAACATATTCTTAATGGTTCTACTTCTTTGTGATTCATTATCATATACTTTCATCTGCATTATTCTGGCTGTAGTGTAGCTGGAGAGGAAGGAAAACGGAAACGTTGTGAGCCTCACAGAGTGGCAGGTGCGTGTGGGAGGTGCTGGAAAGCGGGGAGAGAGAGGAACTCTACCAAGCTCACTGCAGGGTATAGTTGAATGAGGAGAAAGTGAGACTGTGCATGGTTGGCTTCAAACTCCATCGATCATCAGACTTAAAAATTTAAACAGGCTTTAATAGTACCTATTTTTTTTGCATGAACTTGGGTTAACTTGTTGGATGAAAAAAAAGATAATGGATAAAAGACATCAGTAAAAGTTGAGCTGTACAGTATAAGTAATCAAAGTACTGTATTGCTCAGTCAGTTATCAGTAAGTGAACCAATTCACACTGTGTAAAGTGAATTAAACTTGGGACAAGTAAGGCTTAAAAACCATATTCTGGCTTAATATAGAATCATCTCTAGGTTAGTTGTTTGTAAATACAGTTCTTTACCACTTACTGAACTGAAACATGGGCTGGTAATTTCATGAAAGACTAGTATCAGGCTCTCAAGCTTAGCAGTGTACGTGCCATAACTGAAGAGAAAGCATAAGTGATACCCAGGACTGTATTCCTGCAGTTAGAACTAGTAGGTATGGGCGTTGTTAAAGCCTAATCATTCTAGCAACAGCCTTTAGCATGAAGCTTGTAGCAGATTAGCATGGTGTTAGGTAGCCAGCTGGTTACGAGTAGGCTAGTCCTTCGACAGTGTGCATGAGAGAGTAGCATGTGATGTAGTTAATTTCTTGCCTGCGTGAAAAAAATTATCTTCGATATTAAAAAGTTGATTCACTTACTCTTTTTGACTTATTATAGGGAGTGATGAAGAATTCCGACACCTCAGCATCGAGAGCGATGATGATCTTCTTCAGCTTGCTATTCAACAGTCGCTAATAGAAGCGGGCAGTGAAGAGGAACAGGTAATTTACAGGAATGTTTCAGTGATTACTGTCAACTTGACCTTGGTCCTGTTTTCTTCAGAACAACACGTATAATCTATTTTGTTAGCAATTCCAGTCAAATTTTTACAGCCTGTGTTGAAAACAACTTAGTAACCAACTCATTAAACACAGTAGATTTAATGATGCAGAGATCTAAATACAAACGATTCACTGTACATAACATTTTAAGCCATATGTTCTTGAAAATTTAGGCGAGCACAGTATTTGTCTTTTGGATATTAGCACATTTAATGTATCTTGTGTAGTCTCCTGCTTTCCATCACTTAGATATAATTCATTTAATGTATATTGTGTGGTCTCCTGCTGTCCATCACTTAGATGTAGTTCATTTAATGTATATTGTGTGGTCTTCTGCTGTCCAGTACTTAGTATACATTAAATGAACTATATATATCTAAGTGATGGACAGCAGGAGACCACACAATATACATTAAATGAACTGTATCTAAGTAATGGACAGCAGGAGACCACACAACATACATTAAATGAACTGTATCTAAGTACTGGAACAGCAGGAGACCACACAACATACATTAAATGAACTATATCTAAGTAATGGACAGCAGGAGACCACACAATATACATTAAATGAACTATAACTAAGTACCGGACAGCAGGAGACCACACAACGGTTCATTTAATGTATATT